ACATAGCTTAGGCTGGCCTTTATCCTTGTAGCTAAGGATGACCCTGAACTTGTGATTTTCCTGTTTTGACTTTCTCAGTTCTGGGATTGCAGGCATGTGTCACTACACCCAGTACATGCAGTGCTGGAGCTCAAACCCAGGGATTAATGCATGGTAGGCAAGTACTCTGCCAACTAAGTTACATCCCAGCCCTAATACAGCTTAGATACAAATTAAACAGTGAATTTGAATTGATCTCACTGGTAAGATTAAATCTTGACCCTCCAGGATTCTTTATAGTGCTTCTGTAGGGATGCAAACCAATCACACCACAAAATAATGTCCATTGAATAGAATTCTGTATGTACACAGACCTGAGTTCCATTCCCCAGAATGCACCATAGAAGGAGAAAACCAATTCCACGTGATTAAAAAAAAAAGTAGGATAAGCCAGGCAGAACATAAAGATGCGTGCCTTTAATCCCAGCACTCAGGAGGAAGAGGCAGGTGGATCTCTGTGAGTTCGAGGCCAGCCTGGGCTACAGAGCGAGTTCCAGTACAGCCTGGACTACACAGGGAGACCCTGTCTAAAAAAAAAAAAAAAAAAACAAAGCAAAGCAAAACAAAAAAAAAGTAGGACAAAAGTAACTCATTTCTACAATACTCAGAAACACTGATCAGCCCCTTTGGATATAGTTAGTATAGTAACATATTTACCCAAGATTTTAAAATCTGCATGAAAACAAAATAATGGCTGTTTTTCAGTATAAAACTTTATCTCTGAAGTAAAACCCAGTAAAGTCACTGATAACTAATGATTAAACAGTTTTGAAAACACTTGGGAGAAAAGATTAGGGATAATATTAATTTTGATACAAAATATTCATGAATTGAACTCATACCTGATAATAATATAATTATTGAGAAAGATAAAAAAAACTTATCTTTTGGCAAAAGATGGTCAAATTCAGGAATGACAAAAACAAAGAACTCCTACCCAGAAGCAGAAGCATCTGGAGTACACATTCAGCTTTAAGCCAGCAGAGATGGTACCTCCGTCCGGATACTCTACTTACCAGGATCATAATGATCCCCTCTGTGTGAATGTTCAGCCAAGATACTCTTCATTTCTGTGTCAACCAAGAACTGTGAAAACAGAGCATAAAAAATCAACAAGTCCAAGTCAACAAAATATTAAATGACTTATGTCTTAAAAGCATCTAACATTCCCAACAATGAAACAAAGCAAATTCATGAAACAAAGCATTTCCCTGAAACTTAACAGTAAAGCTCCCCACCAGCAATTCCAGAAGGAAGTGATCACAGATACACTTCTCAACAGGAACTTCCTACTGTATACTCTTGACTCTCAGTTGCTTCCTGTCAATAGATGACGGAATACCAGTGTCCAGTTCTTTGGTGGAGAATGTGGAGGTTCAGAACACTGCAGTCTCTAGAACTACTCCTACCAGAGTAAAGTACCTTGGCCTTCTCCTATGAATAGTGCACAGGGCTAGCAAGAGGGCTCAGTGAGTAAGAGTGCTTGCCATGCAAACCTTATGACCCGAGTTCAACTTCCAGAACCCAGGAAGGAAGAGAACAGACTCCATGCACATATCACATTCATACACACTCACCTGCCCCCACATATTTATAAGACACACACACACACAGAGAGAGAGAGAGAGAGAGAGAGAGAGAGAGAGAGAGAGAGAGAGAGAGAAAGTAAATTTAAAGTTTTTTTGAGACAGGGTTTCTCTGTGTAACTCTGGCTGTCCTGGAACTCATTTTGTAGACTACGCTGTCCTCGAACTCAGAAGATCCTCCTGCCTCTGCCTCCTGAGTGCTGTGATTAAAGGTGGGTTAAGTTTTTTTTTTAAATATATATTCATGGTGGACGACCTGGTACTGAATAACCAACGGGGGTGGGGGGTGGTGTCATCTCTGGGGGAGACTACCTCTCCCCCTCTCAGCAATCCTTAGTTGCCTGCAGCTCTTTGTGTGGGGTTGGGGCCTTGTAACCTTTCCCTGCCATGTTAGCAAGTGTCCTGGTGCCATCTTGCTCAGGTCTTGTTTAGACAGCCCTGAAATCATACATACAAGGAACATAATAAGGACCGAGCAGGCTGGACTTATTTATTTGGGAATATACATGCACATTTCTATATATAATGAAAGTATATATGTACCAAGAGTTAAAGAAAAAGAAGCCCTGAAAGAGAGGGAGGGAGGAAGGGAACGCAAGTGCAGGGGGGTACATGGGCCTGGTTGCAGCTGGATGGAAAAAAGGGAAGGGGGAAATGGATGTTACATTTTATTTTTTTTTAAAGTAGTTTTTGAGTAGAGTTGTGAAATACCAATAAATTTAGGTAGGCCTTAAAAAATATATATATTCATGTCATACATTTTAATTTACAAAAAGAAATTTATTTATTTATTTATTTATTTATTTATTTATTTATTTATTTATTTTCCAGAGCTGAGGACTAAACCCAGGGCCTTGCACTTGCTAGGCAAGCGCTCTACCACTGAGCTAAATTCCCAACCCCAAGAAATTTATAAAACAGGCATGAAAGGGTGGAATGATATAACTTCATTGTAATCTCAAAAAAACAGATTATTTTATGCTTGATAAATACAGTAAATTACAAAGTATTTTAAAGCATTATGCATAGCCAGTGTGGTGGTGCAACTCATTTAATTCCAGCACTCTGGAGGCAGAGGCAGGCAGATCTCTGTGAGTTCAAGGCTGGTCTGGGCCACATTGTGAGCTCCAGGTCAGTCAGAGCTAAATATGAGACACTACCTAAAAAAATAAAAATAAAATAAAGTACTCTGCATATAATTAAGAAGCAACCTTGCCAGGTATGGTGGTATACATATTTAATTCCAGCACTCAGAAGCAAAGGAAGGCAGAGTTTTGAGTTCTAGGCCAGTCAAATACATATAGTGAGACCCTATATCAAAAAAGGGAATGGGGTGGGTCTAGAGAGAGAGTTCTGAGAGTAAGAGCACTGGAGGTCTTACAGAGGACCCGGGTTTGATTCCCAGCACCCACATGTTGGCTCACAACCCTCTGTAATATCCTCTTCTGGCCTCCAGAGGTACTGTAAGCACCTGGCATGCAGACATACAGCTGCGAGCAGAGCACTCCTACACATAAAATAAAGGTTAAAAAACAAAACAAAACAAAATAGCTATCTTTTTCAAGACAGGGTTTCTCTGTCTAGTTTTAGTGCCTGTCCTGGATCTCATTCTGTAGACCAGGCTGGCCTCGAACTCACAGAGATCTGCCTGGCTCTGCCTCCTGAGTGCTGGGATCAAAGACTTGTACCACCGCGACCCGGCCATAGAGGCTATCTTACTGAAGTCAAAATTTCACTTATGAGTATATCAGTAGGCCTATAAATATAAATAGTAAGTTTGGGACTGGCTTTTACTTACAACCCATTTTTGTGATGAAGTCTAAATATATACCTTATGATAGAAGATACCCTACTCTCTCTCTCTGCTTGTTATCTATAGGGTACTTCACAGATCGCTTCTCAGAGGTAATGGGATTTTGCTCGTGGGTCTATTGGCCTGTTACACACAGAGGGAGAGCATAACCATGCTAGCAGATGGTTCAAAAGGGCTTTCAAGGTCCTTTACCAAATCAACATGCTTCCGCTAAGCGCAAAATTTACAAACGACACAAGCCACGCCCCGAGGGGTGAAGAGGGGCGGGACTTCACTTTATAGTTAAGGACATAGTAATCAAGTTCACCCTAGAGAAGTGGGGCGGGGGTTGCCGGGGAGATTTAACAATGATGTTTCCCACGAATGTTAGATGTAATTTGAAACGGAGGATAATGCAAAAACCGAGCTTTCACTCACACGTCTCCTAACTATTGACTTGGCAGCCACAATACCTGTCTTCCGTAATGACTCACTCACTCCCTGAATGAAGGCATAATCACAGGGCTCCTCCTCTGAACAAACTAGAATACTGGAGTACTCCTTTTCGGGAACCGGGATGCGAGGCACGCGCTTGCAACTTTATGCAACTTGCAGCGAAGGGACTAGACTGTGGTCACTAGACGATGCGGGCGATGTTAGCTAACAGGAACCGGGGATGGGGTGGGGTGGGGTGGGGGTCGGCTGGAGCCAAGCACTTGCCACCGCCGACACGGGGGGCGGACGACCCTCCCCGCCACGCAGCTCCAGGCAAGGGGGAGCGGGCGTCCGAGCGCCCCAGCGCGCTGACCCGGGAAGGCTGACAGCCTCGCCCCAGCCACCGCCCTCGGCAAAGTCAACTGCCTCCCTGAAAGCGTTTGGCCTGGGACGTCCCCCGGGTGCGCCGTCCTCTGCGGAGCCCGCGAGCCCGCAGCCAGCCAGGATGGAGGCGAGGTG